GTTCAGTTGATTCAAAACACACCCAAAACACACATTAAACACACATTAAACACACATTAAACACACATTAAACACACATTAAACATGGCGTAATAGTGACAATTTCAAACACAAGTACACAAATCTGCTTCACTATAACTCGCAGCATTCACAGACAAACAATAGTGTTTATCTGGACACATTTTCCCCACAAATACAACATGCTAATGTTTTTAGCACAAGCCTATGGCATTTTACATTGTATAAATTAGCCTAGCGGCAAGCAGACTTCTCTCTACTCATATGAAGCCAGGGACAACAGCAGCATAACAAAGGTAATGTTCGTTGCAGAGCCTACGTAGGTATGGCGTTGATCCAACAAAGAAGCATAAATTTCGCCTTAACATCATCATCTGCATCACTAGTGTTCCCAGAGAAACCTCCACACAAGAAAATCCTACAACACGTATTGTGACAAGATGCCCAAACAGCAGGGACAATTCAGATGTCTATCATGCAAACAAGGGCTATTTAATGATCCCGCTCGGAGGGAAGAGTACAGAGCTGAAATGCAACACAATCACACCTGGTAACATGACCCAAACTCTGAGGTGACACACAGTTAGTTGCAAACAGTGACAAAAAATCAATTTGTCAGCTGATACAGAAACAGATATTAAACTGGTTTTCCCACAAGGTGAGAAAAAATACACAATGCATTTTTGCGCAGGCATATCATGGGGCAACTACTGGATGATACAGATTAGAAAATGGCAGATTTGAGGATACAGCTGATAATCCCATAGGGCAGTGATCACAACAGTGCAACAACAGTAGAGCCAGCGTCACTGGTCAAAGGTGCAGCGGTGCAGTGGATATTGTATCTTTACAGCTCACAGCAGCATGGAAATATAAGATAAATAATGCATATGGACGGAAGTTGTGTATGAATACTAAACTAGCAGGAGGATTTGAAAGCTTTAAAGCATCATGTTATAGAAATCAGATGCTGAGAGTATGAAGCAGGGTCATATTAGACCAATATATAAGCAGGCATTCATGAGGGAAACTATACAGATTAAACTTCCGAATATAAAGCTGCCCTTTTATTCGATTATTTCGGCTTATCGCATTATTACAAACTGAAACTTGAGTACACATGTGAAATTGTAAACTCATTGTAGCATAACTGCAGCTCAAGTTACATCAAAGTAGAGCTAATTTCCGAGTACTAGTAAAATAAAATATCATGCCCTCTCATTGACACAACCATCAACCTACAACATCTGTATTGGGGCTGGTGAATGATGATAATGCTTGTACCATGGTCTTGTAGATATACGGTGCACTACCTGGCCAAGGAAGCAGCAAAAATACATCACATACATCTCGAATACATACAATGTTACAGAGTAAGAACTGCTGTCCATACCTCAAAGGAAGAAGTCAAATAACCAGATAACGTACAATACATACAAACAAAAAGGCAAATGCTAAAATTGCTATGCCTTCTAGCAAGAACAGTTTGTGGTGAGGACTTAAAATGGTCCAACTCCTGAGGCAAACCTGATTAGACTAACCAAACATGGCGTACACTGTAGAATATTTACAACCGGAATGTCTCTTTGTTAAAACATGTTGGGCTAGCTCACTGAAAATGTTAAAGCTGAATTCATGAATTACAAAATAAACTTTCTATCAAATGTCATAGATTTCCACGACTGAAACTTTTATCATTCTCAAACCCTGGGAGAGATTACAGAGCATTTAGCATCAAGTTTGTGAGGTAATTTACTAAAGAACTAAAGATAGACAGCTTTGGCATGATCAACTGGACACCTACAATATTGGCAGGGCTCAACAATAAGGATTGCCCATTGCCCAGGCAAGTAAAACGCCTCATCGGGCTAGTAAACCCAGCAACTCACTGATCAGGGAAGATTGAAACACAGCATTTTCTGCACATGTGCAGCAACAATCGGACACTCGTGAGAAAATGGGGATGGGTATAGACAAAGTTCACGAGCTGAAGCGCAAGCAAGTGGTTCAAATATCCTGAAAACAGGAATTTAGTTGGCTGGTGTTAGAGGATGTGGGTGAAACTCCAGTTGCATGGCTGTATCGCACAGTTTGCCTTAAGTTTGGAAGCAAGGGGAATATTAAGGGAGCCGTTTATCACAACAATTATTTTCAGTCTGTTGTTATTTATAACTGCTAATCAATAAATCTACTTGTATAGCAAGTAAAAATTGACTTCAGGATTATCTACAGTATTTTTCCCTTTTGATTTTGGCGACAACAGTGGTGATAACTGTCCACTGCTTTACTGCTTTTCCCTGAACAGTCAGTTATTACTGACAGCAGCTCACACACGGCCAAACACATCACCGTTTGCCTTTAGGTTTTTATTTATTTTACTATGTAAACACATTTTAGGTTAAAATCAGCGGAGAAAAACGAACAGTAGCTTAAAAAACGTACTGTAGTGCAGCTATTTTAACATTCTTTATTTAAACAACGGCTCAGTATACAGTTAAAAGTATACAAACACAACAGAAAGCCAGGGGGATACCACACTACACAGATATTATAGGACATACAGATGTAAACACAGCCGATGTTTTAATGTTTATTCACTGCTGAATTATGTTTTGATTTTGAAAGATGAATCAATGTTGATTTCGCAATGTTGTTTCAATGTCGCGTTTTAAACATCAGTGAATTAAGGTCTTTTGTGTTAACGTTGAATTCAGATTTTTTAAATTAATTACTTAATTTTTTAAATTAATAACAAATAGACAGTACTAATTAAATGGTTTTTAACTAAATAATGCTAAATGAAATAAAGTGTGCACACAATGTTAGCCTGGTTTTATAATATGCCTTCCTTTAACTGGTAAAATATGATAATTTTGAAAAAAAAAAAAAAAAAGTTAAAAAAATATATAGGCTAAGTATCATCAATGGACATGAACTTTACCGACAATTATTGAATGACTCATTTATCCTGAGGGAAATTGCTGTGCAGCAGTTGCAATAAAAGTTGGTAGAGTGTGTATGCAAAGAGACAAAAAGACCAAAAAACAACAGTAGGAGCAAAATATAAAACTAGGCAACAGTAAGGTTCAAATAATTTGCAATCTAATTTAATACAGTGCCTCAAACAGGTTACCAGTATAGATGATAGCCTAAATGTAGCAGGGTTTCTTAAAAATGTGTTTGCACAGTACCAAATCTGAAGAGACCAAGAGTGCATGGTCTGCTGGGGTATTTACAAGTACATTTACATGTTTCATTCCACACACCTAATGACAACAGGTGTTTCCCATTAGTTGTTAATGTCAAAATACCTGCTGTGACACCACGGATTGGGTGTTAGATGTTGTTTTCTATGTAGTAATGCAGTACTGAATAACTACTGTTCAAAAGTGAAAAATATCTAAGTGATGGAACACTGAAATGTTTATCAGTCAGGGTTCAACGCTGCATTGAGTTGCTGCCACGTGATTGGCGGTTTAGCTATTTGCGTTAGGAGCACCTCAACAGGTATACCTAATGAAGTGGCCGATGAGTGTCTTTCTGCACATAGTGACTGGCAGGGTCATATTTATGAATCATTTTGAAGGACGCCTCTTTAACCTTGCTCACAATTAGGTATTTATGAGGAAGCATCCAAACCTTCTTCCAACATAAATCATTAAAAACCGATTCCAATATGCCATGACATATCCTCCTGAGACCCTGTGTCCTCTTATGATTGAGGACATAACATTTTGGGTTTCCTGCACTTTATACTTCATTCTGCTTAACTTAGGCCTGTTGTCCTTGTTTGTGGACACTCCATGTAAAAACAAGATGGCAGCCATCTCTGCAGAGTCAGTCTGCAGCCGATCCTGACACAAAAATGGACAAAACCTGATCATGTTTTATGGTTGAAATTAGTTTAAAATAATGTTTGTCGTTTGATATGGCAACAAATTTGTCCAACTAAGACGCTGTTAATTCGGAAGTACTCGTCTTAGGACATTGGGACTTTAGTGTCAGCTCATTTGAGGATGTTGGGACCAATTAGGTGTGACAGACAAAAGGACATTCTTTGCTTGGAGTATGAAACAAGGACAATTCTTCCAGAAAGTTTAAGATTTGTTGCGTTATTTTCATAATTTAGTTTTTGCACAATGACTTTCAGTCACTGAAATAAACTATTTCATACTTATTACACACTGTGACTATCAAAAATAAACTCTAAAACTACTTCCTGTTCAAAGACAAACTTATCTACTGATCCCAATCAGCTCAGAGACATTAAAATGTGCACCAAACAGAAGCTGAGGTCTCAGGAAGATATGGAATAGAGACAACATCTTGTTAAAACAGGACATCTATGGCTCTATTAATATTTTGGGGGGAGACATGGCAAGAAACAGACTTTTCCTACTAGTTATGAGTGGTCCCTTTGAGTCCTAATGACAATAAATGACACCATTAATTAACAGCTTGTGTCACAGGTGTTGTAAAATAAACTTTGAGTTATTTAAAAGCCAGTCCAAACCGCATAAAAGCCATAGAGAACAAAGTTGTAGCCTAAAGACACGTTAGCTAGCTGCTGCCATCAGAACAAGCCTCGGCTCATTTCCATTAATTCACCTGTCAACGTCAACTGAAGGAGCTGCTCGACAAAATGTCAGCAACAGGTGTCTGCCGACGCACGAGGACCTCAAAATGTCTATCAACACCGACGACAAAGGTAAAAACGAGCACATTTGTGTAGTTTACAGAACATGTCGTGTTCAATAAACGTTAAAGCAACCGGTTGGGTGAGTCGGTTTCACAGTTAATCCCACTCCCGTGACCGACCGGCTCCGGGTGCCTCGGTCTCTGTGTAGTTCAGCGTCAACCGTCAAACACCGATAAAACCAACGGAAGCCCCTCAGCTGAGGAGTACTAAACTACTTCAAACGACACGACGCCATTTTAAAAAAGTTAGTCCAAAGTGAACTTTTCTGTCTGTAGGAACTCACCTTGGGACTCTGGAGGAGATGCGTCGCTGCCATCCTGGTCCGCCATTTCTCCTGACGTCAGCTGAGAGGGTTTAGCGGGAGGAACCCGAGGGACCTGCTGCAGTGATCCCGAGACCGGCCGGGCACCCTCCCACGGACAGGTGGGGGACGACACGGGCAAATACCTGACCTTACAGGTAACATAAACCCATAACAGTGTGCTATACTCACACACCAGGGGCAGAATAAAGTTTTCACACACTATAAGTCTTAATTATTCACACATGTGCTTCATTTTGGGCCCTTGAATGCACCTTAAAAGACAATAACTCTCACCTGCTACCCTGTAGAGTCTGAATTTTTGCCTTCCTTGCTAATAATTTACATTTATTTAATCTCTGAATACTTACACTCCTTGAAAATGAAACACATTTACTCACACGTGCTTTATTTGGGCCTTAAACGCACCTTATAAGACACTAACCCTCACCTGCTACCATGTAGAGTTTGAATTCACACCACCCTCCCAAGTTTTTCTCTTAACAATGATACTTATACTGCTTGAAAATGAACCTCTGTTCCTACTGAAATGCTGAGATGGGGCAAGGTGTACAAGTGTCATCAGCTGGTCTCAGGTCTTTCTAAAGTATAATGCTGACATCTACTGGCAACCTGGGTACATAAGGTTAGGTCAGATTACTTCAGCCAGTTACTGAATACTAATTACATGGCAATTTTTAATTAGTAATGCAATTATTGGATTTAAAAAGTGTAATCTAAACTTAATACTTTTGGATTACTTCAAATTTAAACACTGAAAGTATTCACCTGAAAAAAAAAAACAGATGCAGCCGCAAAAAATGATCTCTCTTTTTCTATTTAAACAATCTCAGAACATTTTCAATGCAAATAAAATGCAGAATGTACAGCTGGTCAAATCAAATTTAACCACATTATTTACTACCGCAGAATGGAACACTTGTCTTAGAAACTCTGTGTGTCACATGTGCTTTTTATGAGTTAATTGAGTGCTGGTTATCCTGAAAGAAAAGTTTCATCATTTTAAAACTGCTATATTTTAAAGACATAATCACATAGTTCAGTGGTGTAGTGGTGGTAGTTGATGAGGTGTGTGTATTACTAGTAGGAGTGGGAATCACCAGAGGCTCCATGATAAGATGTTATCACTAAGTCACGATACAATATTATTGCAATTTTAAATATGTTGCAATACGCTGGATATTGCTATGAAATATATTGTGATTTATTACCTTTTTTTAACTGTAAATTATGTCCCCAAAGGAAAACTATCAATCTGTTTCATCTAATAAGATTTCAGTCTGTTTATCTCACCTCAGCCATTTTTTTGCAGCGGCAAAATGTATCTAGTGGACTGAAAAAACGCAATTGATTGTATTATTCTAATAGTCTATCTAAAGTTTAATTTGTATTTGTCATATTAATGATTTGTTTAATAAAAAGGTGGCACTGTGTGACAATATGATATTGCCACACAAAAATATTGGGATACTATGCTGTATAGATATTTACCTTTACTGGGTACAGAGAAAGAAGTGGGTATACTCTCCTATATATTCCAATAGCTTTTTGGCTGATTGGTGGGTTTACTGCCACCTATACAGCCAGGAAATAAAGATGGGTACACCCTGTATACCTGTGTATACCCTCCACTGCACCACTGACATAGTTACATGACATAGTCAAGTAAATTTTGACAGTGTAGCCTAACTATAGTATAATAATGCATATTTAGTAATCTGAGCACTTAATCCTGATCACATGTGAGCAGTTACTACCCAACACTATTTTGCCATGCTATTGCTATGGTCTTCTGACCAATAGTTTGGTGTCTGTGCAAGTTTAGTAAAACTGTCAGTCATACCCATTTATAATAGATAACGTTTTCACATTTATTTAAGAATTATTGTATTTATTTAGTATAATGAGCCATAAGGAACATTAATTATGGTTTACACAAAGTCAGGGGAACAGAAATGAGTTTAAGAAAAGCCTCACAGGGGCCTTTAAAATCAGGAACGCAGCTTTGCCCACAAACAGCAATTTACACAACAGCAGTTTTATGCTATTTGGAAATATTACTTTAAAATTACACCTAAAAGAGAAAAATAACACTAGCCAAATTTGAAGACTACAGTATTATAGCAGATGTTCACCATTTAATACAACTGCTTCCAATGTAACCCACATGTTATCACTTAACACACCTATTTAAGCACCCCTTTCTTACTTCACGCAAGCAAAAACAATAACATTTTGTAGTTTTATTCATTTATTTTTTACTCATAATACAGTATATAATATAATACATAATATAATACAATATTCAGGTATTAGGGATAAGAGGAGATTATCTCACGAGTCATGGCCACAATTTTATCTTGAACATTGGTAACTTGAAGGCCCTGTGCACTCTCACAGGTGTTTTCAATAACTCTGCAAATTAAACCTCAAGTCAGGTTGAAGTGGGTGGAGCACAGGTGTTACTAATAACATTAACGATGGCTCAAGTGTCCCAGTAAGCCGTGACAGTGGGACAGTGAGCTGGCATGGGCTGCGGTTGAGTAGTCTTTTTTGCTCAGAAAGGTTCCTAACTGAGTGAGATAACCTGGAGGTAGGCCTGTCTAAGAGGCAGCCATCATAGGAGCTGGCTGAATTCTCTAAATGCTAAGGAGAGGTGCTTCAGTGCTTCCTTTCCTATTTCCTTTAGCATAGAGTACACTAGACCGTTCTTTAGGAAAGGGAAGGAGACAATGTCGTCCCATAATTTGTTACGGCAGCAACATTTGAAGCGATGCACCATTCAGCAGGTGACAAAAACAAACTGTATGACTATCTTGCGTAAATTCAAACACATCTTTCATACAATCATACGAACTGGGATTCAGGTTGATGAATATGCATGGACATGAGGGTGAGCGTGAGCAACCATTCTCAATGAGACAACTATCTAATTTCACTCTTGTGACTGGTGGCCTATATTCCCTTTTTTTTTTTAATTTTAATTCCTACCTCAGGGATGAGGTCATATTTTTCACAGGGTTGTCTACATGTAGCCTGCATGAAACAAAATGATAAGCAAGTGGTGAAGTAGCTAAGATGCACCTTTTGTAGTCCATCTTTGGACTGTTGTGAGTTTACCACGGCAGAGCCACTTCAGTAACATCTGCAGCTATATAATCACGTAGCACCCTGGTTGTCTGAGGTCAAGGAACAGTGTTCATTAAAAGACATAGGGCATCATGTTTTTTTGATTTTTTGACTGCAGTTCAGGACCTTGACACTGGAGCCACTAAATGAAATGCTGCTGTCATTCATTTTGTTATTTACAACTGTGCTTTTCTGACCTATCAGAATTTCTTCCATGAAGAAGGCCTATAATAACGGTGTAAACAGTCCACTTGTGCCAGGTGCAACAAAATGAACATGAGAGTGAAGGAGCTGTCAATCAAACACAGTCTAACCAAGCAATTTAAGTGATGTCTGAGTGGACTACCTAAAGTGTATATAGGGCTTTAATGCACTGGGCTCGTTCCGAATCACACACTTTTTCTTTTTAATTTTAGTATGTTCTGCAGCTGCCTTTAGAAAGTACGTACTGTTGCATGCAGTATGCACACAATCGGGACGTACCACTTCTTCATAACATTGCGCCCTGAACTTTGACCCTCTTGCTTTTATATCCATCACCTTGGAGATAAATGAACGCCACTCACTCAGAGTTCGCCAGAGACAGCGGTCAACCAGAGAGCTCTGCTGTTGATACTTTGCAATGTATGTAGATTAACTTTAAAGTCATAACTGCACAGATTGTAGATTCTGACATATATTTGGAGCAGAGAAATTACATCTGCAGTTCTCTGACGTTATTTTCAAAGTTATGTCCTGTTGTTGTTTGTGATATTTATGATTATTTTGTTCACTTGAACAATTGATATTCCTATTATTACTGTTTGACTGATCATCATTTAGTTTAATGCGCTGTCATCTGTCATTGGGACTTCTGAGAGCTGATTAACAGCTGTCGCCTGTTTGCAGCTGAGTTGATGTGACAGATCGTCCACTGCGCAGAGGATTGTGGGTCAGAATAGCCAGAAAAGCATGCTGGATTGCATACTGAAAAATTGGACCTGATGTAGTGGAACATCCTGGTATTTTTGGCATACTGCATTTGACATACTATGCATTGGTACATACTAAATCTTTTTCTGGCATAGTATATATGATAGTATAGGTATTGGAACGCACAGACTATCTTGCCTCGTTTCCCAGTACTAAAGAAAAAGTTGGGCTCTTTTACAGCTTCATTCTGACAAATGTGAATATGTGAATTCGTAGCTGTCTGATTAAAGTTGTGCATCTTTGAGAAAAACAGCCTTGTTATCGGCTTTGTGTCTCTGCGTTTTTCCAGTGATCCAGATGGTTTTTTAAAGTTTTATTTGGCTTCACAAGTAGGATAATTTTTAAATTTAAAATCACCAAATGTGGCTCTCTCTGGACATCGATTATAAAACAAATTTAAGTAATAGCTAGAGGTTTAAACTGGCAAACAAAATTCTCTGGTTGCTACTGTCCCATATGACCAGCAGAGGGAGCCCTCTTCTTACATTAATAATGTTTGACTCATCAAAACTGCACTCAAACCCTTTATAGGGGTTCAATACCTTTCCCATTAGGTTTCATTGATACATCAATAAGATGTTTAAATCATGAGATTCAGCTAAATGCAGAGCTATTAAAAATTAATTAAGTATTGTTTAATGTGCAGAATATTTATGGATGAGTCAACAGTAGCTTTGGGTGTATCCATCACTTTACCACAAATGTATCACTTCACCAAAAATATCAATTAATAACACAGTGCATAAAGATATAAAGGGTGTTTCAGCTCACAGTTAACAAAGAAGTGTTTCAGTCACACAAAATGAGACAAAAATGAAGCAGACCACTGTTATTTGAAGTAACTCAGTGATGTTTGAGGAAGGATTTGCTGTTCCTGGCTGAATGTATGCTAATCTCCGCTCATATCACTGCTATTTGCCAGACCGTACAGGCTTACCCCCCCCCTAGACCCCCAGTAAAATGGCTACTGATTGGTGCATGGAAAACTGAAACCATGGCAACCAGCTGTTTGGCAATTCCTCTGATGGAGGAGGCGAAGGGAGGAGGTATTGGCCTGGAAGGTATATACTCACCCACAGACAGGGTCGGGGATAGAAAGGATGGGAGAAGGCTGATATGCAAACAACTTTACTTTATCAGCTCTCTTGTAGATATATTTACTTACTAACCTGGGTTTAACCCAACCCCCCTTTTTCCTGCTTATTTTTTAGACTAAACCCCTCTAAACAAAGCTGCTCCTCTTCTTCAGCAATTAGTGTCTGTTTTTCTGTCTTTGTTCGCTGCTTTTGTCAGAAGCCAATATGGTTAGTCATGGGGTACAGGGTTCAGTCAGTAGGTGGCGGTTAAGCCTAGAGTGACGTTGGGGGTCACGTGCATGATGAAAG